ACAAAGTAAACATTAACAAAACTGAAAAAGGAAGTAGACAATGTCACTATAGTAGTATCTTCAATACACCAATCTCAAGAAAAAATAGAACTACTGGGAAGATACTAAAAAAGGATACTGAAGAATTAAACCACACAATAAGCCAACTCTAACTCATAGATGTATAAAGGCTAATGTTGTTGTTGTTGTTGTTGATTGCCTTTGAGTCTAGCCCAATTCTTAACAACCCTATAAACAAAAGGCCTGAAGCCCCTCTACAACTATTGACATTTATCAAAGTTCATAGAGTTTTCAGAGGCATGTTATTTAGGAAGTGGATGCCACTAAAAGTGGATCGATTCTGAGACTGGAGTGGTGGGAATGAGTTTGTTTGAGATGTCTAGGTTGGCACAGGATAGAGCGGCATTTAGAGCTCTTGTACATAGGGTTGCTATGAGTCGCAAATGACTTGATGGCACATAACAACAACAACAACCCACTCATGTTCAAGCAAAGTGTTGTTCAGATTCCAAATGTATAGGGTTTTTTTCTCCATTATCCTCTTATTATTAATTTCTGATTTTGTAGCATTGTGATCTGAAAAATTATCTCTATATGCAGGTTATATGATGGTATACTTGGAAAACTCTAAAGACTCACGAGAAAACTATTAGATATAGTTGACCAATTCAGCAAAATGTCAGAATACAAGATCAACATACAAAAATCAATTTAATTTCTTTACAGTGACAAAGAGAATACAGAACTGGAACTAAGAAAAACAATACCCATCACAATAGCTAATCACAAGATTAAATACTTGAGAGTAAATCTAACTAGAAACACAAAAGGCTTATTCAAAGAAAATTACAAAACATTACTACAAGAAACAAAAAGAGATCTGGAGAAATGGAAAAATATGCTATGCTCTTGGATAGGAAGACTCAATATTGTGAAAATGATAGTTCTACCAAAGGCAAAGTATACATTCAGTGTAATCTCAATACAAATACCAATTTAATTCTTCAAAGAGATGGAAAAGGCAATTTCCAATTTCATCTAGAATAGAAAGGCACCCTGAATAAAGTACTCCTAAAAAAAGAGAAACAAGGTAGAAGGAATCTCACTCCCTTTTTCCAAATCCCACTACGCAGTCATAGTGGTCAATACAGTGTGGTATTGGTACAGCGAGAGACACATAGATTGATGGACTAAAATTGAGAACCCAGAAATCAGCTCATCTACCTATGGTCAACTGATTTTTCCCCCTCTTTTTTTTTTCTTTTATCTTTTCTCTATTCGTTTATTTACAAAATTTCAATACAAGTTTGAACAAATTCTTTCAATTTCCCTGACAAAAGAGATGAAATTAGTTAAGTGGGGAAACAAAAGCCTCTTTAATAAATGGTGTTGGCAAAATTGGAAATTCTGCAGAAAACTCAAGCAAGATCCACACCTCACACCATATTAAAAAACCAACTAAAAGAAGATCAAGGACCTAGGAGTAAAACCAAGGACTATAAACTTCATCAGAGAAAAGCTTGGAAGAACTCTAGAAGAACTCTAGAATCCACACATGAACAGTCTTCCAAGCATTTTGAAAAAACCTACAACCAGGTGAGGATAAAATAGATGAATGAGACCTTCTAATAATCAAATACCAAAGCACATTGAAAGACTTCTCCAACAGGGTGAAAAGGAGAACACAGACTAGGAAAAAATATTTGATAATGACATGTCTGACAAGGGACTTTTACCTAGAATTTAAGAAAATAAAGATTCTTACCACTGTGCTGATGGCAGCATCATGATAGATAGTGAAGAGATTGAGATTGTTAACAGCTTTAGTTTGCTTGGTTCTATAATCAACACTCTTGGTACCAGCAGCCAGGAAACCAAGAAAGGAATTACACTGGGAAAGTAGGCTGTCAGAGACCTCTCCAAAGTACTGAAGAGCAGCGATGTCAGTCTGGAAACTAAGGTGCACCTGATCCAGGCCATAGTCTTTGCAATTACTTGCTATGTATCAGAGAACTGGAGAATGACTGGGGATGATAGAAAATTAATGCCTTTGAGCTGTGGTGCTGGGGAAGAGTGTTAAGTATACCGTAAATTGCTAAGAGAATAAACAGGTTCATTCAAGAGAGGGTGAAGCCAGGCTGCTTCTTGAAGGCAAGTATTCCGAAGCTTTATCTGACATACTTTGGACATGTTGCAAGGAGGGACCAGTTCTTGCAGAGGGACATCATGCTTAGGTGGTTGCAGGTACAGCACAAGAAAGGAAGATCCTCAATGAGATGGATTGATTCAATGACTAGGGTAATGGGAGTAGGTATGTCAGAGACAGTAAGATTGGCACCAGATAGAGTAGGGTTTAGGGCTGTTGTACATAAAATCACTATGAGTCACAGGCGACTCAATGGCAAACAGCAACAACAACCAGCACCACATCAAGATAAAGGTAAACAACCCAATCACAAAATGAACACAGGATATGAAAAGACACTTCACCAAAAAAGACATTCAGATGGCAAACAAACACATGAAGACATGTTCAAATCCCTAGCTCTAAGAGAGATGCGAATTTAAAAAAAAAACTGTGATATTTTATTTCATCCCAGTAACAACAGCAAAGTTTAACAGAGCAGCAAACAATAAATGTTGGTGAGGTTGTAGAGAAACTGGAACACTTATTCAGTGTTGGTGGGAGTGTAAAATGGTACAACTACTATGGAAGGCAATATGGCACTTTCTAAAAAAGTTTCTAGTATTGGGAACATACTCTAAAGAAACCAGAACTGCCACCCATGCAGATGCATGCGTGCATATGTTTATTGCTGTGTTTTTCACAATAGCAAAGAGATAGAAACAAACAACCCAAGTGTACATCAACAAATTGATAGAGAAGTTGTAGTACATTCATACAATGGAATACTACACAGCACTGAAAAATAAGGAACTAATAAAATATTATTCAAAATGGTGAGCCTGGAGGACATTATGCTGGGTGAAATATATCAGTCACAAAAGGACAAATACTGCATAGTGCCACCATTATAAAACAGGACTGACATTATTATTTGGGGAAATAAGAAAAGAGGTGATAAATAATGATCACTGCATTGAATCAGATAAGGGTAAGGACTGTTTAAAAGGAATATATGAATAGCTATTATTTGCATGACCACAATGCAGAACAAGAGGTACAGAGCAAAGTGGACTGGGGTGGGGGGTGGTAGGGAGGAAAGTGTGCAACAATAAAATAATTTCTTTTCAAACAGAAAAGCAAATTGGTGGGGAGATGGGGAGGGAGGAAAATGTGTAACAATGTATACATGGAAATCCAAGTTCTCTTTAAACTTTCACTAAAATATCAATTAAAAAACAAGTCTTAAGGGGAAAAAATATTTTGCGTAGAATCAGTTAAGGAATAAAAGAGATTGAGACAATTTTGTTGGCATCTTCATGGAGAATTTTCCAATACAGGTTATTTTCTTTGAATTACAGAGAACTGAACTTGTGAGTTTTCTAACAAATAGATAATGGGAATTAAACATATTTTGAGAATTTCAAACAGGACTTCTTTTACTGCTGAAAAAGCAAGGCTGCCACTTTGAAGACTAAGTACCCCTGACCCAAGCTATGGTCCTTTAAATAATGTGTGAAAGTTGGACAATGAATTAAGAAAACCAAAGAAGATCTGATATCATTGGTTTGTGGTTTTGGTAGAAAATACTGACTATACCATGGACTATAAAAACAATAAGAACCAAAAAATATGCCTTGGGAGAAGTAAAATAAAAATTTATCTTAGAAATGAGATTGACAAGACTTGATTTCACACACTTTGGACATTTTATCAGGAAGGTACAGTCTCTGAGGAAGGGCATCATGCTTGGGTAAGCAGAGGGTCAACAGGAAAAAAATAAAGGAAGCCCTTTAAAGAGATGCGTTGATACAATGGCTGCAACATTAGGTTCAAACATATGAAAGATTGTGAAGATAGTACAGGACTGGGTAGAGTTCTATTTTCCTAAATATAGATGCTGTTGCTGTTGTTGTTGTTGTGTACTGTAGAGTCAGAACCAACCCACAGCTGCCCTCCAGGGGGTTTGCAAAGACATTTAATCGCACAGGAGGAGACTGCCCATCTTTCTGCTGCAGAGCATCTGGTGGCCTCAAATTGCATGCCTTTTGGATTGCAGCACAGCTTCTTGCCGCTAGGCTACCAGGGCTCCCTAAATATACATAGGGATGAAAATACTCAGAATGGCTCAATACCACCTAACTCAAGAAAATTATTTAGATTCCCAGACCTTTTTGATCTTAAGGGCTGCAATGATTTAGTGAGGTTTGCCCACTATAGAAAGGTAATCTGTTTTTCTTCAGACCAATTACAGTTAGTGCCTTTATAACAAAACTTAGACTAGGATTTTACCAAATAACTGGGCACCAGAGTCTAGTCAAATACCACATAAAATGAGCCATCACAAATGGGTCTCTCAAACAATGGTAATTATTTTTTGAAAAAAATCTAGCTGCTAGTTTCCTGATTTTAATTGTTTTTGGTTAAACATTCTTCTAAGTGGTATAGCACTGGTCTGTCCATTTGCTGTACAGCGGTATCTCGTGGTTGCTCTGAAGCTGAACACTGTGACACCAATGTGTCAAATGTGATAACGGTTACCCATGGTGGAAAGTGTTTGGTGGAGCTTCCTGATTAAAACAAACTTGGAAGCATGAGTAGCATCCACTTCTGAGATAGCTTGCCTCCGGAAACCCTATGAACTTAGAGAAATGATGAAAGTTATACAATTAATTGTTCAGGTCTTTTGTTCATAGGGTCACTATGTGTTGTCTACAACTTGATGACATTTAAAAACAACAATAGCTACTAGTTACTAAGATAGATCTATTTATGAAAATCTGTTGAACTTTATACTTGTTATTTTTTTACATTTCCAGATGAATTATAGCATTAAATAAAAGCTTTTAAAATTAATTGAAACACAAACACTTACATTGTTTTCCTTTTTCCTGCAGTGGTGAGAAGCAAGTCCGGCTGCCATTACTGTTTACCATTTGGTTCTTAAACTGGGAACATTTGAGGAAATCAGGCCAGGAGACGTTCGCCATCCCCAGGATTGACTCACACCCATCTTTCGCATCCTCACAGAAGGACCGACAAGGCAGGAGGATGCCTTGGCTAGATGGAAGAAGAGAAGAGAAAATGAATGTCTTAATAGATTTCTTCTCTAATAATAAAGTAATTAAGATAAGAAAGCCACAAATGCTGTACTGTTACTGTAATTCAGTCTTAGAGCAAAACATTTTGTTAAGGAACACAATTGCTACCTGGTCAGTTTCTGTCTCTTTCTCTGTCATTCACAGAGGCCAAGGAAACAGGAAGGTATGTCAAGGACAGACACATCAAGTCAAAGAAGCCCCCTTCCTTAGGAATGCTGGGGATCTCCTCCTTCAAAATCCCAACCGATTCCACAGATTCCTAGGAGGGGCTAGATGACGACCAGTCTCTTTAAACTGGTAGCCTATAAATAATAGGTTGCTGGTGACCTGGTGAATAGGGAGTTGAACTGCCAACTAAAGGTAGATAGTTTGAATTTACCAGCTACTTGTTGGGGAAAGAAGGGTAATCTTCTCTGTCATTTATAACCCTCTGAAAACCTACTAGAAGGTTACATATGAGTTGGGTCCAATTTGATGGTAATAAATTTTGCACTTTTGTTGTTGTTGTTATGTGCCGTACAGTCACTTGCACCTCATAGTGACCCTATGTACAACAGTCCTAAACTCTGCTCTGTCCTGTGCCAATCGCACTGTCTCCAATATACCCATCCTGATTACCCCAGTCACAGAACCAATCTACCTCATAGGGGGCCTTCCACTTCTGCGCTGTCCCTCCACCCTACCAAACATGATGTCCCTCTCCAAGGACCTGTCCCTCCTTGTAACATGTCCAAAGTATGTTAGATGGAGCCTTAGAATCCTTGCCTCCAAGGAGCAGCCCGGTTTGACCCTTTCCAGGATGAATCTGTTTGTTTTCCTAGCAGTCCATGGTACCCTCAATACTCTTCTCCAGTACCAAAGCTCAAAGGCATCAATTCTCCTTCTATCCTCCTTGGTCATTGTCCAACTCTCCGATGCAAAACAAGTGACAGCAAAGACCATGGCCTGTATCAGACGCACCTTAGTCTCCAGAGAGACACCACTGCTCTTCAGTACTTTGGAGAGGTCCCTAACAGCAGGCTTTCCCATTACAATACGTCTTTTAATTTCCTGGCTGCTGATGCCAAGAGTGTAGACTGTGGAGACAAGCAAACTAAAGCTGTGTACAATCTCAATCTCTTCACCATCCATCTTGATGCTGCCAATTGGTCCAGTGGTGAGAATCTTTGTCTTCTTAACATTGAGCCCCAATCCATATTGGAGGCTGCAGTCCTTGACCCTCTGCAGCAAGTGCTTCAGGTCCTTCTCAGTTTCAGCAAGCAGGGTTGTTCCGTCTGCATATCGTAGATTGTTGATAGATCGTCCACCAATCTTGACCCCATATTTCTCCTCATAGAGCCCAGCCTCTCGGATAATCTGTTCTGCATACAGATTGAAAAGGTATGGAGACAGTGCACATCCCTGGTGTATGTCCTTCCTAAAGTTTAATAATAATAATAATAATAATAATAATAATAATAACAACAACAACAACCACAGAGCCCACTTGAGGCTTATGCACTCTCTCCTCTCCTGGTAGCATGTCATAAGGTTTGGGTCCCTTTGAATTCCCAGGGCTGTTTCCTCACCTCTCCTTACTGTTCTCTTTAACTCCCTAGCAAAGCCCGTCTGTCTTTCACCAACTATGTTTCTTTTGCATTACCTTAATAAACCTTTTTCACTTGTTTTGATACATTACCACTGCTTGTATGTTTGCTCACTTATTTACAATCGCCTCAACTCACCCTCTCGTGGGAAATATTAGCCAGTGGTGAAGAGATTAAAAGAACTCTACTTTTAGCATGTTTCAATTTTTGCCACCCACACCCTGTTAAAATCCCTGGGTGGCTAAGATGATTTGTATTCTAATATTATCTTAAAGGTTGTTGGTTGGACTCCGCCTAATAGTGCTAAAGGAGAAAAGGATGGCAAATGGTTTCTGTAAAAATTATAATCAAGAAAACCCCATGGGGCAGTTTTACTGATAATGATAGCTCATGGGGCTGTCATGAGCCTAGACTCCAAAGACCATAAGTTAGTTCCATAATATATCATATTTCAAACTCCCTCCTTCTCTAGTATCATCTGTCATTTGTATAAGTATTTTTTGAAATTCTTTTTAGTGTCCTGTATAAACTTATCAATGAAAAAGAGCCAGCAAAAAAAAACCAAAAAAAAAAAAAAAACAAACCACAAAACCAAAACAAAACAAACCCACCACCAAAAATAACATGGAAATAATAGCTCCCAATTTAGAAGGGCAAATGTAAGCCACTAAATAGATTACTCTCATTTTTCTTTTAATCTTCCCTTTGAGAAATTCAGTCTTTTGCCATTATTAGCAAGAGATGGATAGAGAGAAAATTGTTTCCTAACTTCTTCAGCATCCCTGGAAAAGAAACATTATACAGAGAAGTGGCAACTTAGAAGACCTTGTATAATTCTTTATCTCTTCATATTTCTACTTTGTCCTATGTAAAATAGGAACATGCAAGAAATCACCCACTATAGCAAAAGCAGCAATGCTTCTGGAGCTTATTTTTATTCACTAGTTATGTAATCTTGAGTACTTAACTCTGTGTATGGGGACTAACACCTTAGCAATGCCAAGGTCATGTTCTTACTCTCTTGTGGACACAAATGACATCTTCTACCTTATAGCATTCTCCCTGGCTAGTCATCAGGAAAAGGTATTTAAAATGGTTTTAAGGAAAGAAGTAAGAAAAATACCTATATTTCACAGAGTTATAACTGGATTTAGTGACATATGATGTGGTAGATCAAGGTGTCAGCCTCCCACCTCCAAGGAGCTCCTCATGTACCAGACAATACAAAAGCCACAGAATTGCTATTGTTCATTTCAATTATAGAATAATATATGATAAATATAAATTACTTATATAAAATACTTCTTACATTGTATGAGCCCTAACAACAAATTTTTGTGATATGGTTACATTATTATCTGAGAGGAAATCTTTTCTCATTTTGATTCTTACTTCTTACTTTCTGTCTCATACAAGGCCTTCTATTTCCTTTTCATATTTAAAAATGAAACACTGAAACATCACCATCAAATTCACTCCAACTCAGGGTGACCCTGTGTGTTACAGAGTAGGACTTACTCCAGAGAATTTCCTTGACCATAGTCTATACTGGAGCAGATTACTAGATCTTTCTTCTGTGGCGTGGTTGAGAAGGCTCAGAACACAAACCTTTGAGCTCGTCATTCATTTACTTATTCATTGCCTGTAGAGTTGGAATCGAACTAATAGCTGGCCTTACAGCAGATTCTAAGCACTAGGCTTTAAATCAGAAGCCAAGCACAAACCTGGTTTGCACAAAACAGGGTCACTAATGATTTAAAAATATGTAACAATTGAGACTGTTAACAGCTTCAGCTTATGTGGCTCCACAATCAACACTTTTGGTATCAGCAGCCAGGAAATTAAAAGATTAATTAATTGCATTGGGAAAGTCTGCTGTTAGAGACCTCTCCAAAGTACTGAACCGTGTCAATCCACCTGGTTGAGGGTCTCCCTCTCCTTCACTGACCCTCCACCTTTCCTAACACCATGTCCCTCTCCAAGGAATAGCACCTCCTAGCAATATGTCCAAAGTATGTGAGGCAAAGCCTCATCATTCTTGCCTCCAAAGAGCACTCTAGCTACACCCTCTCCAAGACATATCTATTAATTTTCTTGGCCATCCATGTAATGTTTAGTGTTATTCTCCAACACTACAGCTCAAAGGTGTCAATTCTTTTTCTGTAACCCTTCTTCATTGTCCAGGTCTTAGATGCATAGCTAGTAGTAGGAAAGACCATGGCCTGAATCAGACATGCCTTGGTCCTCAAACTGATATCACCACTCCTCAATAATTTGGAAAAGTCCCTAACTACAGATTTTCCCATTGCAATGTGTCTTCTTATTTCCTGACTGCTCGTTCCAAGGGTATTAAATGTGGATCCAGGAAAGATGAAGCTGTTGACAGTTTCAACTTCCTCTCCATCCATTATGACACTGCCTATTGGTCCAGTGGTAAGAATCTTTGTTTTCTTGACATTGAAATGCAATCCATACTGAAGGCAGCATTCCTTGATCTTCGGAAACAAGTGCTTCAAACCATCCTCACTTTTAGCAAGTAAGCAATCTGCATAACGCAGGTTATTGCCAAGTCTCTCCTGATGTCACATTCCTCTTCATAGAGTCCAGCTTCTTGGATAATAAGTCATGTTTAGAAAGAACGTTGTTCCAAGTGGTGCAGGACTTGTCTGTCAGCTTGCTGTACTACAATTACTTGGGGTTGTTGTAATATTGAAATCTTTTGCCACTGGTGTGTTAAGTTCCAAAAGAGTTTCCCATTGTGGACGGGTTTTGGCGAAGCTCCCTGATTAAAACAGACCAGGAAGCAGGATGGGCCATCTACTTCCTAAATAAAGGGCTTTTGAAAACTCTATGAATACTAAACAAACAGGACAGTTATAGTAGTGTAGTGGTAGAGCCCAGAGTAGATGTTAGTTGAAATGAAGAAAATAAATAACGAACATCATTTAACAATTGGCACATGGAATGTTCATAGCTTGAGTGTTGGAAAATGGGATATTATTAAAAATGAAATGGAAAGCATGAATATTGACATTCTAGGCATTAGTGAGATGTGATGGACCAGCTATGGCCACTTTGAATCAGATAATCATATGTTATACTATCAAAGGAATAAAAATCAGAAGAAGAATGGTGTTGTATTCATAGTCAAAAAGTCAATTTCAAGTTCTACCCTGAAATACAATGTTGCAAGTGATAGGATAATATTCATACACATATAAGACCTGTTAGCACATCTATTATTCAAGTATATGTGCCTACATCTAATGCCAAAGAGGAAGAAATTGAGAGTTTTTATCAAATTTTGCAGTCTGAAATGAATTGAGTCATAGCGACCCCCCAAATGGGCTTGAGCATGGTGAAGAACGTGATG